TTTTTTTTTTTTTTTTTTTATTAATTCCAGTCCTGGGTCCAAAACTCACAGTAAGGCAGAGATAGGCAGAGTGTGGGAGCGTGAGTGAGACAGATTTTGGATCCTGAGGCTGTTTCAGCCTCTTATAAAGGGAAGAGTCTGGAGATCAGCATCTGAACTTCCACCAAATCTATATTTACTGGAACCAATTGTGCTATAAACAGTTAACACATTATGCATCTTTTCTGCTTCTAGCGCTGCTCATTTTTCACCCAACAGGAAAAGGGAAACTTCATAGAACCAACAATTGACTGTGACTCTGTCTCTTCTGGATTTTAGTTTCTTTGAAAACAGCTGCACTTAAGATATTCTATTAAAACCTACTCTTTTCTCTGTTACTTTGCAGTGGTTTAGGATACATCACTGGATCAAGTGTGAGGCAGGTAGCAGGAGACTGGCACTGGGCATTGCGGGTAAGCAGTTGTCTCGAGGTTCAGTAAACTGGCACAAATATGCCTAGTAAATTAATGTGCACATTTACACGCACGTGCATGCATGTGTGCACATGTGCATGTACATGCACACGCATGCACGTACACACAAACACCCCTTCCGATGAGGGGTGCCTCAGGTGTACTGATGTACCTGAGTAGTGCCTGATGTTCACAATTTTCTTCCTCAGAACTTCCAGCTGTACAATTAGTCAAACCAATTTAAAATTTGATATTTTGGTGATTTGGTTCATCAAAATTTTCCTAAAATGGACAGTATTTTCCTTTTTTGGGGTGAAATTCCAGCATTTTCCCCCCAGTAGAACTTTAGATTTTAAAAACTTCTCAAAAGCACTAATAACCAGGTATCTGTCTGTCTCTGTTTGCAGTCTTTGTCCCGTTTCGTAAGAGGTTGGTAGTGAAACTTGGTGGAACCCTGTCTCATATGCAACGTAGTATAACAATACCCAGTCAGAATCCAAACTTAACGTGTCATGCTTAAAGGGAGAACAGGACTTCTGGACAAAGGGAAGATTAAAAATGGAAGGGCATTAGAAAATATTTGTATGGATATTCAGCACATGGAAGGTGAAAATTGTGAAGCCACTGGGACCAAAAAAAAAAGGTGGAGGCTATTGGCTTTTTATGTTTGTTTCCCACTCTGGGAGCAACAGACTTCTAATCATTTCATTATCAGTCAAGGGTGGTTTCTTAATGGGGTGGGGAAGAGGAGACGGTGACCTTAAATCAATTCCACAGCCTTTCAGTCCCCTGCTATCAAGAAACTCTGCAGGAATGGCTTCCTGCTTTGAGGAAAAAACACTTTGTTTCAGTTTCCGTATGTTTTTCTGCCCTGAGATACTCTGTTTCCTTCTATTTGAACCTCTTGGGACCTTGATAAATGTGTCGGAAAGATAATGTGCTACATACACAAAAACATGCACTGGCACAAAAAGATGTCTTGAAAGAGTTGTCAGGAAGCGGCCCCGCAAAACTGCTTTTTGACCTTTGACAGTCAGGCCAGTAGGAGGCTGAGCAAGAGGCTTTTTCGGGTGCTGCCATTCATGAAGGCAATTCATTCCTTGGAGCTAGAGCCAATACCGTTTATAACCGCAGGTGTTGAAATATGCAGATTCCCCGCCTCAAATAAGTCGTCCTTTTTACGATACCAGCTCTCCCCTGACTGTGACCAGGAAGCAAAGCCAATAAAGTCACCATGAACAATCCGTCAGCAGTTGGGAGAGCGAGGAACAGCTTCCAACCATAAATGCTTAATGCAAAGAATTAAGTTTAATGGTCTGAAGCCTCAGCCTAAAAAATTGGCTTCCTTATCTAATGGCAGAGATGCTTTAAAGTTGAAATTGGCTTGAGCGGGGTCCAGCTCAAAGCATAATCAATGCCAAAGCACCCCACTCCACCAAACACGCTTCACTGAGATCTGGGCCAGCCTTCTGCACAGAAGCCAACAGCACCACAATGGTTTGCCAGCGTCACTGGCTGCAGGAAGTTACCCTTTGCTTCCTTCCCTTCAGTGAGGTCTCTTTTACTGAAAAAACTGTCAAGGCCACAGCTCTTCTTGGCCTAGGCTGCCTGGTGATTTGCCCCATCCAATGGGGCTGTTGTCTTGGATGCAAACGTTGCAACACATGGCCCTCTTGATCACCTGACCATGCAAAGCATATGGAAATTATAAGGAGAAGTCAGTCTGTCCTAACCTAGTAGTGTGATGCAGTTGCTTACTACAAAGGAAGGAGGGACCTCCTGGGCCGCTAAATCCAGTCCCATGTATTTTGCAGGCAGTCGTTTATCCAGAAGGGGTCCATAAGTTCATCCTCTCCTAGCCATCTCTTGCACCATCGCCTCTGAGCACCCAGTGAAAAGAAACCATTCAGTTAGCCAGACATAGGGGGCACCTATACACATACATTGAGGCTGCTCCAATGTGTTGGAACAGAGTTGATTAATTGAGTCTGCTAGAGCGTCCTAATTACCGTGCTCCAGCAGACTCCAGTGTCATGTGTATCAGCATCCCTGTGCTGAAAAATAGCAGCAGGGGCACTTTAAAGCTCGCTTGAGCTTTTGTTAAAGCACTCCCCCACTGCCATTTTTCAGTGCAGGGATGCTGATACACGTGACGCTCCGAGACATTCCCCCACCCCCCAGCCTCCTTTTTTACATGTAAAATGCCCAAAGAGCAGGAGAGACCAAGGCACTACCAGTGCTTTGACCACTGCTATGGTAAGGAATGAGTTAGGTTAAAACACTCTGAGATGCAACTCGGAAGAGCACCGGTAACGATACCACTGTATCACTCTTCTGATCTCACTGGATCTGCTGAGCTGAAGGAGGCCAGGGCTAGTCTGTGCCCAGTCAGGAAACCCTACGGAGAACACTTAGAATTTTTTTGGTGGTTCTTCAGTAGATGCCAGTCATCACTCTACAGCCAGTAATAATTTAAATGTGCCGGCAGAGCAGGAGGGGATGCTGTGCTCCTGAAAGAGCTGGACTCTTCAGATCCAAACAAACAAAGGTCTAGAAAAGTAATGTTCATGAAAGGTCCCAAAGCACTTCAGTTTAGAGTTAGAAGTGTGATTCAACTTCTGAATCCTTTATTTTCTCTTACGGTTTTTACTGGAAGAGAATGTTTCCTCTCTTGAAATGTTTGGGGCCTTTGCTCCAGAGAAAAAAATGGGTGGGACCTCCATCTCTGGGACCTGTAATTTTGCACTGTGGGTGTAAATCAGATGCTCTGAGGTGCGAGTCCTCAGGCTGATGCCTGTGATTGTTTTGGTTGGTCCAGAGTTTTTATGTGGGTGTTTCACATATAGAAGAGGTGGTACTGGCCTTTTTTTGAAAATGCTGTGTTTAGCAGCACTGCTTCACCCTAGCAATGACTGAATGTCAGTGACAACAATGGCATCTGTGTTTGTGGCTTGGAAAGCACTAGAGGTTCCTTTGGGAAATGCAGCCTTGTTGAGTGGTCAGATTAGTGGAGTGGGAATTGAGAGGCCAGGCTGTGGCGTGCTTCAGTATTCTTATCTGCTTTCTCCGCTTCTCAGCTTGAATATCACATGCATCTCGCTGCACCACAGCTTCAGCAAGCAGCTGCTGGAGGAAAAAAGGGACAGGTGAGGCATCCATGCAGGAAGGCTGAGGCTGCTGTGAATGCATGTGACGCAAGGATTGTGGTGGGGGAAGAGGAGACCCCCAGCATCTGGAAACCTTTTTACTTTCCTGGCTCTTTGTTCCTAGACCATCTCTAAATTCTTCTGGAAATCAAGCCCTGCTGGGAGTTAGTCACCCAAGCACCGTGTCGCTGCAGAATCGTGTTAAGAAAAAACTAAATATAGCAGCTATCCCACAAAAATTTACCACTTCTGTGACAGCATCCCTATGGCTGGGGGTAACGGGAGTGAGCTAGGACAGCCTAGGGAATAATAGAGAAAGCAAGGAGAGGAGCAGATGCTGCAGTGTATGTAGAGGCTCTGACTGCTGAATCTGGTCACTGAAGCGAAACTAATGCAATCTGTTTCTTATTGACTAGTCAAGGCAACTGCTGCTGCCATCCTGTACTAATGCCCAGATCCTTTCTTCCAGGTATCTCCACTGCTGGGTATGATCACAGGGACGCTCATCTTAATATTGGTACCTGCTGCTAAAAGAGGCAACGGTGAACAGCTGGGGGGACAGCTGAAGGCTAGGACCTCATGGCTAAGAGACATGAAGGCACTGTTCAGAAAGTAAGAGACATGCTTCACCTCCCTGCACTGTACGATTACCCAGTGGTGGGATCTGAGGAGCTGCAGAAGGCCTGGGAAAAGAAATCACAGTTGTCTGTTCACTAGATAAGGATCCTACTTACAGGGTTTTGAACCCAGTTTTGGATCAAAGCTTTCTAAGATTCGGATCCAAAATTTTGCTTTAGGATCTGTAGGAAGTTCCCAGCAAGGCTGAAGTGTAGGTGTGGAAACATGAGAGTGGGCCTGCAGCAAACTCTGTTACCAGCTCTCAGATGCTCATACCCTTTATATTCCCTGGTGGGCACCAGGAGAAGTAATTCCACTTTGGGAAAGGGGTTCATTAAACACCAAAGGGAATTTTGCAGAGAAAAATCTATAAATGCCCACACACACTGAGGGTATGCATACACTTTTGCAGGTGTCCACACATTCCCACAGTTGCAGGTGACTGCATATCCTCTCAGGATCTCCTCATAGCTGACACACATGCATGTACCAAAGGCTCACACTTTCAGCTGTTTAGGGAGTTGCATTTGCTAGCTTACTTTCCAGGGCTGAATACGAGTATATATGCCCTTGCTGGCTAGTGCTGTCAGCCTCTGCTAGGACAGTATTACAAGGGCTAGTAATTTATTTACAGCTGTCTTTGTTGTGTATCATATTTTTGGGTACCTGGTCATCAGTGATCCTCTACCATTCAGAGCTGGGATGCTCAGGTGGGAAACCTGGTGCTCTGAGCCAGAAAGCAGATAGCATTATAGCACAGAGAGTGGCATTTGAGCAGTTGGTGTCCTGATGCCTAAGTGCTGAGCGTATGCTGAAAGCCTCCAATTCAGTGGTCACGTAGTGCTTTGAAACTGTAAAAAACAGTAGGGATGATGTTTACAGCATTTTACAGTTTCCGAGCTAGAAATTGCTACAACACGAGGAATTAGGAATGCACCCTGGGCCTGATTCTCTGTTGCTCTGCAGTCTGTTGTCACTGGACCCATGCAAAGCAAGTGCCAACCAAGACCAGCCTGGAGCCTGACGGGATTTTACACCTGCTTTGTACAGAGGGAAGTGCCTGCAGAGAAGAGAACTAGGCCTTGTAGACTAGGGGCAATGCTTTAACCAGAGTGACAAAGCAGCATTATGTGGCACAGAACAAACCACAGCACAGTGATCACTGCAGGCAAGTGACCTCCCGGCTACTGATCCTCTGGGAGCCTGCAAGAAATGTGCCACAAGAGCCCACCTTCTCTAGAGGGCGA